AATACCTAGGAATAATGATCGACGATAAACTAAAACAAAAAAAAAAATATAAATATGTTCATCGGTGAAAATGCGCTTACAAACATACAGACAGACAGACCAAAATTATAAAAATTTTAGATTTGGCTTCTGTTGATCTAATAAACCCCCTATTAATTTTTCTTTAACATCTACTAGGTACAGATATCGGCCTGTTGCAATTTTATTATTCTCAAATACTTTCGTTTGATACGCATATGGCAACATTCAGGTTATCTTATCGATTTAACTGAAATAAAGTTTTCAAATAGGTGGCAACCCACTTCAAAAATATTTTTAAAAGTAAGCTTCCTAATCCTCTTTAATTTAATGTCCGTTCAATAATTCAAAATTATTTTACAAATTTAAATGAATAAAATTTTTTAAGCAGTTGGCAAATCCCCTAAAAATATTTTGGGCATTAAAATTTCCTGACCTCTTTAGTTTGCAATTATTGCAATATTTAATTTATGTTATCAATTAAGTTAAATTAAAGTTTTCAAATAGGTGGCAACCTTCCACAAAAATATTTTCAGCTGAAAGCCTTTGTAACCTCTTTCTTTTGACAGCCATATTACAATATTTACTTTATCGTATCAATTGACCTAAACTGAAATTTTAAACACAGGTGGCAACTCTGTAATTTTTTTCTTCTATATTGTAAGCTAGACCTCTAGCGATACATCGGTGAAAACTGTATTCAATTCCATGCCTTAGATTTCGAGTGATGCGCGTACAAATATACAGACGGACAGAGTAAAAATTTTTAATTTGGCTTCTGTAGGTCTAATAAAAGCCCACCATATTAATTTTTCTCTAATTGATATAAGGTCTGTAAAAATTGTATTATAAGTATAGATATAGATTTCATTTATTTTATGAATTTAGTACAATACAAATTTTCAAACAGGTGGCAACCCTCCTCAAAAATATTTTCGCCAGTAAAATTTCCTAAACCTCTTCAGTTTGATACACATATTTCAATATTCAATTTATCTTATAAATTAAATTAAATTAAATTAAAATTTTCAAACAGTGGGCAACTCTAAAAAAATATTTTTATTAGTAAGCCTTCTTAAGCCTCTTTCTTTTGGCGCCCATATTGCAATATTCACTTTTTCTTATAATTTTACTTAAACTACAATTTTCGAACAGGTGGCAACTCTCTAATTTTTTTCTTTCTATTTTTTAAGATAGATCTCTACCAATACATCGGTGAAAACTGCATTCAGTTCCATTCATTCGTTTTCGAGTGATGCGCGTGCAAACATACAGACAGACAGACAAAAATTCCAAAAATGGTTGATTTGGCTTCTGGTGCTCTAAAAAAGAGTCCCCAAATTAATTTTTCTTTAATAGCTATAATGTACAGACATCGACCTGTTACAATTTTATTATATGTATGTATAAGCTTTATCAATGACACAAGCTCGTGTTTCTTATTCTCCAAATTTCTTCTATACGCTGACGATCTCAAAGTTGATTCGGTTGTTAAGAGACCCGGGGATTCTGATTCTCTCAATCTGATCTAGATAGTGTTAACTCTTGGTGTGAAAGAAATCAACTCTTCTTCTCAACTACTAGAAAGTCGTATACCGTAAGCACATCTTATACGATAGCAGGTACGAAACTCAAATTTGTAGATCAAGTCAAAGACCTAGGGGTTTATTTTGACTCAAAACTCAAATATAATACTCATATTAACTTCATTGTTGCAAATTCCTATTCCTCGTGGGTTGTTGTGCGTCGTAACAATTCTGATTTTTCTGATCCGTACACTCTAAAAAACTCTATATTGCTTTTGTCAGGTCCCGTCTAGAATATGCCGCAATTATTTGGCGACGTTTTCATACGACGTATATAAACAGGATTGAATGTTTACAAAAGATTTTTATCAAGTCTGCGCTAAGGTTTCTCAGCTTTACAGAGACAATGCCTCCCTATAAGTCACGTTGCTTACTTTTAAAACTTCATTTGCTTGAAGATAGGAGAAAGTGCCTATCCTGCTCGTTTATCTTGAATGTTATAACTAATATTGTCGATTGCTCTGAAATTCTGCGAAGAATACCGCTCAATATTCCTGTAAGAAATTTGCGGCGTTCTGACTCATTTTAGGTGCAATCCGCAAAGTCGAATTATGCTTTGATAGGTGCATTCAAGCCCTCAGGGAAATCAATCAAATAAACCAAACCGTGGAAATAGATCTGCCACTTCCTGGAGTCGAATAGTCTCGAATTACTTTAGCTGATTAATTAGTTGATCACCAACTTAAATTGAAGTTGTATTTTTAAGCTTAGTCAGTAAGAATCTATGTATTCATTGACTGAAATAGAAATAAATAAATATATATATAAATATATTAAGCGCCAGTGTAGGTGTGGTTCCTAATGCTCCGCTAATTCCTGTTTTACAAGTGTAGCCTTCTATAGTTAGTTCCACCATGAGCCCTTGCATTGAAACAATATAGGCTTAAATCTGGTTTCCTAGAGCTAATGAATTAATTTGGGCGATAGCTCCCCTACAGCAGTACAAGGCAACCGACACCTTTCCTACCCTTTGCTCAATGTTAGGCTTCCAGGACAGCCGCCGTTGATCGCCTACCTAGTTACCTGGTTTAGGTAACCTTGAGCCAGATCACAGTGTATAGAAATCGTCCCTTAACCAAAGGTAGCACATCATCTACATAGGCGACCAGCCGACAGCCCACTTTTTCCAGTTCCTCTAGAAGGCCGTTTACAACCGCAATCCAGATCAGGCGAGAGAGAACACCACCTTGTGGAGTGCTCCTATTGACTCTGCACTGAGTGCAGACGCTCCCCCACTCCGCCATTACAGTTCTGTCACGAAGTAAGCTATAGATAAGCCTTATTAGGTTGGTTTCAATCCCCAGATTATTGACTTGATTATTACCTCTGGAGTGACATTATTGAAGACTCCCTCGATATCGAAGAAGCCTCTACTGCATACTTTACCAATGTGTGCAGGGCGGTATTCACCGACCTTTTTTTTTGCAATAAGCATATTGATCTCTTGAAAGACAGTTACGAGGAATTGCGTTTCTTATTTACGAACAGGTCTATCAGCCTCTGTAGCGTTTTTAGCAAGAGCGTTTTTAGTATAAACGAAAAGACTGATAGGCCTAAAATCCGTAGGGGACACATGATAGGCTTTTCCTGCCTCCGGGATGAACGCAACACTGACTACCCTCCACGCCTTGGGGATGTACCCGGTCCTCACGCAGTTCACATAAATAGGATCCAACCAATTGCACGACACCTTCAGTGCGCTTTGCAGCTGCGCAGGTATGATGCCATCGGTCCCCGGCGACTTTAATGGTTTGAACGAATTTATCGCCCAGGCCAGGTGACGATCGTCCAGAAGATCGGAGAAGTACAGGACCTGGGGGAAGATTCTGTCACCAGTTAGCGACAATTTTCGAATCGCTATCGCACTTTTTGACGCAAAACATTTATATCATGCGTTAAAAAGTGCGATAGCGATCCGAAAATTGACGCTAACTGGTTACAGAATCTCCCTTCTGAAGTGCAAAATATCGCAAAGAAGTACATTTGACTGTACTTTGAAGTACGAAGTACAAGAGCGAAAAAGGAAGTACTGTACTTCTGAAAGAAGTACGGTTCGTCACATTACGTTTGAGTAACATTTTCCGTGTTAAAGTTTGAATTTTTTTCATTCGCAATGCAAATTTAAAATGAAAATAACTTGAGTAAATGATCTTATCTGAAAAAACGGTAAACAAATCCGTAAGCTACTACCCAAAATTAATTTTACGTGTTTCGGCGTTTTTTTGTGTAATTTTAGCATCCTTACAGTGTTATCATCAAAATTTAGCCAAGCGGACTCTATCCTCATTTGTAACGCAGGTTACCAGTAAGAGTACTTCAGAGGCCCCAGAAGGCACGCCATTTTGGGTAGCACTAAGGCTACCATAATATACACAATTGCATTTTTATAGATACGTAGGGATTAGTCTAAGAGAACAGCAGTGCCTAAGGCAGCAACAGTCCGGACTGTTCTTCACCGAAGGGCGAGCATGAAAGTATTCGGGCGGGTTATACCTGCTTCGACATTTACGAAGCGAGTTCGCGGTAGGATCTGGAAAATTTACGGTTACCCTATAAACTGAACAGCTACAGTTGAAGTTATTCAGCTTTCTTAAAGTCCAATTAGTAATACTACTTAGGTAGAAGTTATTTATTCAAGGCAGTTGGCAACGAAGAAATTTAACAAAGCTATTGCAATTCAACAGTTAAAAAAAAAATAATACATTTTTCGATTACTTTTTAAATTACTTTGAGGAATGGAATTCGAAAAAAATCAACTGCATGCAATTCCTTTGCTGTGAACTGAAGGAATTGATTCCTAATTATAATTACTGAAGAATGTAATTGTAATTGTAATGTAATTGCATTTAACCCAGCTTTGATTATAATATTATATTATCATTATATTCTTGTACTATTTTAAGAATTTGATTCGAAATAAAGTTTACTTTTCAAATGTACATACCCGGGTACGCAGCTGTTGACGTAAGGGGTAAAAGTCGAAAAATAGACAGATTTCTGGTTCCGGTGGTCCACTCCCACTCAGAATATGGTGTACAGTACTTTTGTTGAGGATATCATGAAATTTCAAGTTAATCCGATGTATGGTTTCCAAGAATTACAACTCACAAAACATATATAACATACCCGGGTATGTTGCTGTTGACATAAAGGTTAAATATAAGAAGATAATTTTTTTAAACCCCCCTCCCCAAAAAAAATCTGCATTTGCCCGTGCCACCATTTCGCAAGGTTTCCAATACATAGAGAAAGCACTTGCATATCGCTTATTTTCTAATGGAGTCTTGCCCATTTATGTTATTTATTTCGATGTGTTGTCTAGTAGGCAATTAATTCAACGTAGGGCAACGTCTGCTAGTACTATTTTAAAGTTCAATGTTATATAAAATTGTTTACTTGAGTGGGCAAATTAATCGATCCTGGTATTACTGGAACTCCCGTCATAAAATCATTTGTTAAAAAGGGTCTCAAAACAATCGATCGGCAGCATGATGGAGTTCGATTTGTTGGATCCCTATCAAAATGCACAGGAATCAACACGATGGGCATTTGTGATATTTTACGATGAAGTTCCGCTTGGATTATTATCTGAATTAGAAATTAAAACATGAATATAATACGTATTAGTGAGTTATGTTTTATAATACTTCATTTCCTATGGCATCCGCTTCCCTCAATTGATTAAGAACATAATTGTTGAGTGTCGTATGAGTTATGTCTGTAATTTGGTACTGTACAAGATCACCAAATATAAAGCAAACACGATTAACATTATGCAGAATACGTGGTATCAGTTTAGCTAAAAATAATAAATCGTTCCAATTCGGTTCAGCATTGCTGGAAAGGCCCACAACATAGCTATAAGTTCTCTTATCACCTAAAATAAAAAAAATCAATTTTTATATTTTTAAAGTGCAATACGATACAATAGAACACATTAAAATTTTATTTTATTCCATAAATCTATTTATTCACAAAGAATGCTATTTATTTTTCTCTCCTAATTTCAGTGATAAGGGTTTTAAATTCATTTCATTACCAATAAAGTAATGTATTAGATACGCGTAAAATTTTACGAGTAAGTATTAAAATAGTATATCTTGGTACAATACATTTAATTTACAGCCTTATTATCTATCTCGCACGATAGGCTGCAGACGAATGCTTCAAAATTTAGTCCAAACAACATTCTAGCCGTATTAAATGTAGCCGAGACGAGTCCAACGTAATCGTCGTAAAACAAGACGAAGACGTACCATAGAGTTACAAAGTAGCAAGAAGACACGATGTCGTCGTTCGTGCGGCCTATCGTTCGAGATAGATAATAAGGCTGTTAATGCTTTCAATAGGGCGAATTTTACCGAGAACTCGGGGGACTGGGAAGCAAATCATCATTGTTTTAATGCGTTTAAGAGATTAAAAAATTAAAAAAAAAATTCATATGCCACGTTCCTTTAAATGGACTAAAGAGAAAAAATAATTTTTGGTAGACCCATAGAATTTTTCCTGCTAAGTTTTCATTTTAAAATTTTAGCAAACGTGGGGCGCATGTTATATACTAGGGGAGCCCACGATGCTAAATCGGGATTTACTCGAGCGCCATTTTGACCTATTGGATTTTGAAGATTATGTGACGGGAAGAAAAAAAGTCATGTGAAGTTTTTCCTTACAGCGGTGGGTGGAGGATATACAGGCTTCTAAAAATGCAAAAACAAAAAAAAAAGTTACATGGATTTACTCGAGCGCCTAAGATATTGATAGTTAATAAATCAAACGTGTTTCTGATGACGGCGATATGCTAATCTGCCGGTTTGCATGGTGGGGGTGGGCATACGGAAGGGTAAAAATGGGTGACGAAAAAATTTACTCGAGCGCGTCAGATATTCACAAGGGATGTTAAATGGACCTGAATGAACCTCCCATTCAATAATCTGTCGATTCCAATATGACGCAAGCCCGTGGCGTCTTCTTGAAGATGCAAAAAAAAATCGCCATTTGGATTTACTCGAGCGCGTCAGATTTTCATACAGAAGATTCATCTCGATGCCCTGGCCTTGCTGTTCCATAATCTGACGATTATCTGGAGGGGTTTTCTTAATCTGACGGTTTAAAAAAATAATTTCGTTTCTGAGATGCACAGTCAACCAAACATATATTATTGTAGACACTTATTATTTTATCCGTGCAACTATCATACAGCAAGTCCGGTTCGACTTGGTCGTCAATTTCTTCTATATTTTTCCGTCTGTTTGGTTGTGGAAATCGTTAGATGATATGCTTCAGCTGTTTGCTTCATAATACAAAAAAAAAAATGGACCGCGCTCGAGAATGTCAAGGAAACTTTTTTTTTTCAAGTTTGCGACCCTACCATCCCAATCCCTTGCGTCGCGCTCAAATCGTCAGATTTTTTAAATGTACACTTTTCAGCATGTAAATAATTAACCCACCACTTCTTAACTGTACTAGCGCTGTAGAAATTTAAGGTCTATGTTATGTAGTTTTAATTTTGAATGAAAGACTTATTGTCAATTAAATGTAGTGAATTATCTACTCACATACATATAGTATATCACTATGATTCCATTGCTCGCGCGCCACGTTTTTCATTTTAAATCTCGTAAAATGTTTAGTACATTTTAAAATCACAATTTATAAACACAAATTCTATGGGTCTAATAAAAATAATTTTCTACATTTTAGTGCATTTTAGAAACGAGGTGTATTACAAACTATTCCATATTTGACTTTTTTTATACTTTTCAGACTTGTTTGTATAAAATTTTAAAAAATTAAAACAATTGAACGATATTCTGATTTTATATTTTATGAAACTCACCTTATTTATCGTCGCTTTCAACATACTACTACATCTATAAACCAAACTATGCGGCAACTGCACTACAGCGGAACTACATGAAGCTGCTTTAAAATTGTTCCTAGTTTGTAAGCTTTTCTGTGCAGTGTATGGTTTTCGGCCTAAAATCCATCAAACGAAAATCATTTTTTGGCAATGCTTTTTGAGTTTTGTACCACGATTTGTTTCTTAGAGAAAATGGAAAAAAAACAACAAAGTCTAAGCGGTAGAGCGGTGCTAATTTCGAAGATCCCCACATCTCCTCATCAGATTTCTTTTTCTAGATTTCAGCAGGAATCGGGGCCGAATCATCGATGTGCATAGCCAGCGACGCTAACCACTGAGCTATGCACACCCCGAAAACTCTTGTTGTATATGCATATCAATTGATTTCACTACGAACTAGACTAGTTTTGCACGTTCTACGTACGTATGTATGTATCAGGGATGTTGCGAATATTTACAATCGCATTCCTTATGCGAATGATTCGCATAATTTTACACATTCGCATTCGACATTCGCATTCGCATCGAATGATACGAATGTTTTGCGAAGGCGAATGTGTACATGGGCAGAGAGTCCGCTCTAATATTGTTGAAATGGCTCTAAGTCTGTGTAACCAGGATGCGAACAATAACCGGCTTTTAGCTTCAGGCGCTATACGGTTAAGTAGTATATAAAGCAATATGCTAAAATGCTAAATGTCTTATAAGCAACCTAGAAATAATTTAAGATTCCTCCATCGAAAGCGAAGGCTCGGATGTAGAATCTGGAGACATTAGAAAATGTGAAATTAAAGCTCAATTGAACGTCTATCTTATCTTAAAGAAAAACGAGTTCATCTCGGTGAAAATACTCTCGATTGGTGGAAAACTAAACTAAAATACGACAAATTGTCAGATCTGGCCCGCAAATATTTGAGCGCTCCAGCCGCCAGCATCCCTAGTGAATACTTAGTCGCCAACTTGGCTCAAACCGTGCACTTTTTCATCATCAATATGGTACCTCATAACTAAGGATAGTTGGTAGCCCTGTCCGGCGTTATACACGAGCCTCTAACGAAGTCGTCTCATGGGAGAAAAGGCAGCAAAACTACTTTTTTTGAAATATGATATGCCCATTTTGAACTTTCACTACTAGATTAAAACACTGTATAGGTTAAGCACTCGTTCAATGTTCTAATAATTTACAAAATTTTTAAGTAATAAAAACGATGGCTTAAGTTGATTATAGCTTTTTAATGTAATTCCTAATATTCGCATTCTCATTCATAAAATTCGCATTCTCATTCGTGAATGTGAAAAATATGACATTCGAAACATCCCAGTGTGTATGGATTTTATGTTCTTTACTATACTATCTACTAGCGATGTGTAACACACCAGAGTGCTGTGCTGCTGTGCTACCTAGCACCAGGGTTGCGTGATTTTGATTTAGTCAAATCACAAATCTACACATAGTATAGTATAGTTCGTTGGATTACAAAATAAGATACCAAATGAAAGGGCCTCGCCCTCTCATCTACAAAAGCTTCAATTTTTTGAATAGGGTTGCCACCTATTTAAAAATTACTATCTTCTAAATATAGTATAAAGGAAAGTCGAGATATTTTGATCACGCTACTTTCAAAACTACTGCACGAATTTATACGAGATTGCTTAAGTATAAGCTGTATCGACAGGAATATTATCTTTAATATTTTGAATTCCTATAGGGTTTCCACCTGTCCAAAAATTATTAGATCCGCACTATTCGTTGGATTACAAGAAATAAGGTGTCAAATAAAAGGGCTCGGCTTTTAGATGTTCAATAATGTATAACTTTTTGAGTAGGGTTCCCACTTTTTAAAAATTATATGATCTTCACCGTTTGTTGGACTAAAAACTGAGGTACCAAGTAAATGGATATGGCCTCTGCATGTCCAATAAGTTTCTATTTTTTGTTTGAGTGGGGTTGCCACCTATTTAAAAATTAAGTAGGTATAATACGCGAGGGCATGACATTAGATTTGCACAGTTCATTCAATTAAAAAAAATGAGGGGTCAAACGAAAAGGATTGATCTTGCAATTTGCAGTAAGGTTTTATTTTTTGAAGAGGGTTGCAACCTGTGCGAAAAATTATAAAATGTGGGCTGTTCGTTAGATTACAAGAAATGACGTGTCAAATGAAAGGACTTGGCCTCCAGATGCGCAATTATATATTATTTTTTTAGTAGGGTTGCAACCTGTTTAGTTGTCAATCGCATCTTATTTAATCACCCCTATTCTGGTTGTCGTAAGTCGTTCGCATCGACAGTCGTTCGTTGAATTGTGTTGTAAATAAAAACATTAACGACAGATTTCAACACGTTTTCATTAATTCTTCATTTCGAAAGGATAATAGGAATAAAAATTTGTGGTATATTATGTCATTTGTTGCCTCATAACGTCGATGAAAATTTCAAATTTCGACGAACGACTATCGTTCCGGCAATCGGAATAGGAGCGAATATCTACACATTCAGCGCGTGGCGAAGCCTCGCGCATACGAGACCGGCTAGTCCATAAATAAGATTTATTTCTGACTGGAAAGTTGCATCAAATCCTAAATAAATTTTATTTGTGATTTGCCTGGTCAACCAAGTAAAAAATAAATTTTATTTGTGATTTGATTCGTCAACCAAATCAGAAATCAAATTGATTTGTAAATTGAATCGCCCTCCAAATCAGAAATCAAATGGGTTTGTGATTTGAATCGCCCTCCAAGTCAGAAATCAAATTGATTTGTGAATTGAATCGGCCTCCAAATCAGAAATCAAGCTTATTTGTGATTTGATTTTTAGAGCGAATCATTTGATTTGTGATTTTTCAGCCAAATAATACTCTTTTAGGCAACGCAAGTATTTCGGGATTTTTGGGACTAATTCGGAATTTTTGGGACTATTTCGATATTTTCGGGGTTCTCGGGTATATATCGGGATTTTTGGGACTATTTTAAAATTTTCGAGACTTCTTCGGACTTTTCAGGATTTTGGGACTAATT